AAAAGCGATTAATCAATTTATTTTTTTTCAGTTATGGTTATTTTCAAGAAAGAATATTTCCCTGATAATAGTATTAGAATATACTCATCAAATCACAATTGGAGAAAAATTAATATTATCATGTACTCAAAAGAAAGAAAGAGAATTTATTCTCTTCATAAGAATATTATTGAAAACTTTATCGAAGAGAGAAAGTTGCCTCACGTCTGTGCAGTAAGCAAACCAAATTTTTTTTATTTCATATTCCTGGTTAAACTAAATTGAATTAAATTTCTCTCATCCTAGAATTCCGAATATATTTCGAATAAATTTGATAAACTTATAATAAACTTGTGATACAGATTTGCGAATATATAAACTAAATGACATTTACTCAAATGCAGTATGAATTTTCCTGTGTATGACAGGTTTTAAAATATACAAGCTATAAAAAATCACGCGAGTCAAAGAAGCTTAATATGATTACGTTGGACACATGACTATGAGATAAACGTGGAACTTTGAATTCAAAATCCGATTCGGGTCGATCGAGAAAAAGTCGTGGGATATAATTGCTGGAATATCATGAAAATTTCATTATGCGAAGCCTGTGTTTCCCAATTAGATTGGATAGGTCGCGGTCTTATTACTGTAAATGACCCTCCTCGTTTACGGACACTTCGGCAATTTGAAAGTTTCGCCCCGGCCATATTCGGAAAGTTTCTTCGTCGACTTGTGGCGCATTAAGGACAGAAAGTTTAATCGCAGGTTTAAATCTCGTGTATTATAAAAATAGAGGCCCATGGGTGCATAAATAACGTATTCACGTCAAGCGGCCGAGGAATGCAATCCACGATCGAACGACACTGCATTGATTCCGGTACAAATTCAACCCTTCCAGACGAAACCACGCTGCGGGAAATTCCCGTGACGGATTCCGGCGACGTCGTCTGGCGGATACAGACTGTATTGGATTGCGGAACATTCAAACGGTAAAGCTTTTCATCCGTCTAAGGATTAGCGTGAGAGAGCGGGGAAGTAAAATACGAACGGCGGCAAATCAATATGGAAGCTAGAACTGACGCTTCGAACTTCCGATTGTCAAGAAAATCCGCGGAAAATTCTGCTAAAAAATACGCGCCATCCTTCGAGGTTATACATAGTGTTCAGCGTAACGATCCGCACGATTTTTGAGACGTTTCCGATAGTTTAAAGAAAAAGTTGTAAGGTGAGCTTTCATCCATTTTTTGCAAGTTATATAACATGTAATTGATATATTATATTTATTTGTCAGAAACATCACACGCTCATTATCAAATTTGCAACATTATTGTAAATAACAGTAAGTTCTGACTAAAATGTAAATATAAACACTAAAAGTTAGTCAAGACTTTATAACTACTGTTACTTAAAATAACATTGTAAAAATTTGATATTAAATATCAATAAAAGTGACATTTCTTGATTGTGCATTGAATTCGTCTTGAGATTTCCTAAAATATCATGAAAGAAAAATTTTATGGTGTTGTTAAAAAAATTTAAAATTTTTTTAATTTAAAATTTTTTATTTAAAAATTCTAAAAATTTTAAAAATTATTTCGTGTCATTCAAAAAATTATATTATTTTTTATGAAAAAATATATTTCAATATTTTGCAAATGATAACTTGTACAAAACAAATGTCAACCTTTTCTTTAAACTGTTGAAAGCGTCTCAAAAATCGTACGAACTGTTACGCTGAACACCCTGTATATTTCGCGGGGTACTTAAACTAAATTTTACGCCCCGCGTAAAATAGTTGCTTTAAAATATGTTTTTTGCATGACATGTAATTCCACTGGAAAGCGGATCGATTATCGATTCATACGATAGATTCTCGATGATTTCATGTCCTAGGATAGTTGCTTATAACATATATAAAATCGTTACTATAAGACGCTTGTCGACTTGCATTCGTATGACACGAGATAGTCAACTAAAAAATGTAATATGTATTAGACTATCTTTCTCTAAACAATTCTACATTTCCCCTCTATTCCCTCCTTTCTGCATTTCTTTCTTTCCCGACGGATCTACAAATCTCGATTGAGAAAACAAGATAATGTCTATCGTGTATACGTGACCGTTATGGAGTCACCACACATCGTTGTGTGTGTGTAAATGGAAGGATAACTATTATAAGTCAATCTTGATTTTATAACGTGGAAATAGCCTCTCTATCAATTCGATCCCGAAAACAAGAACAGCCGTAATACTAAAAGTTATATCTCTCCGCGCTTTCGAAGTGTTGGGAGTTGAAATATCTTCAAGCAGAAATGTGAGAGCAATTGTGCGAATAACCGATTCGCTAAGTTCAATTAACGGCTTTATTCTTATGCGATATAAGATTTATGCAAAGATATTTGTGCAGCGATAATGTTTATGGTATTTATATGTGTAGCTTATAGATATTCCGTAATATTTATAAAATATGAAGATCTTTCTCCAAGAATCCCATGCGAAATAATCCATGCATTATGATATAATGTAATATTAAATAATTTCAAAAACGTATTAATAATAACAACGGTAATAACAGTTTTACAGGAATAATTTCTATTTTCATAAAAGATCAATAATTTACATGTGATATTAAGTAAAATAATAATGTTAAGATATTGATATTGCAAAAGAATACGATATTGAGGAGACATTCTGGTTTGGAAGATTGCAAAAAAGAGTGTTTTTCTAGAATTTTTTAGGAAAACGAATAAATCGAATAATATAAAACTTTGCATATTTTCAACCTTATTTTTATAATGTGTACATGCAAAAAAAAGAACTAGCTTCCAGAGCTAAAAAATAGCTGTGGCAGATAAGATGTGTCACCAAAATAGGGACAACTAATGTCGATACTACCGAAGCTAAATTTATTCGCTATTTAAATTTAGGCGCTAGAAAGCGAGAAATATTAGCTGCTAGAAATAAATGACTGTAGCAAATAATTGTAGCTGTGCAGCAAACTTCCTTAATATATGCATACGATAAAAAATTTAGGAATAACTGCCATTTTCTTAACTATTTGAAATAATGTGCAATTTTAATGTCACCTAATATATTTGTATTTTATAGCGAATGCACTTTAGCTATCATAGCCAATTCTTAGCAGTGACAGCTGAACTATTAGCCTTTTGACTAAGTTTGAATCAGCTACTGCGGTTTAGCTGATATTACTAAGTCATTTTTTGCGTGTAATTATAAATTGCGCCTACAACACTTTTTTCTAAAAACTCTTTTTTTGATGCACCCAGTACACAGACAGTTTGAAGAATTCATCAGAAAAGTAGCAAGAGCCTATTTTGGAGAGAATGCGAATATCGGCAACGTGGCATTCATATTTACATAACGTCTATGTGTAAGAAAATTGAAATGACAATGTAGCACACACACTTGCATAACATCTGTGAAAAGATGATAGTGGTATCATGTTGCTTATTTTTATAATGTATTTTTATAATATATATTTATTATCTAAGTAACAGAAACTCTCTTTTTTTATATCCTGGTCATTAGAATCGCAAAAGATATACGTATGCAGACCGTATAAGTGATTATGGCTCTTCTAGATATCTGTAACACAAAAACAGGAAAATTTATAATCAGGAGAAGTGTAGCTATCATCTGAACTAGAACAAATATTATATATTTATATTAATTGTTCTTTTTTTATTAAAATATTACCAACACCTTGAGGAGGAACTATTTTTTAAAGAAAAAGTTTTAAGAAGTAATTTAAAAAAAAAGACTGCCATTTTGTCCAGAATGATAATATTGGTTTAGTTCTAGTTTAAATGATAGCGACTCTTCTAAGTAAGAAAATTTTTAGTTTTTGCATTTCAGATATCTAAGAAAGTCAGAATAATTTATATCGCCCGCGTGCACATATATGTTTTCCTTTACAAACTCTTAATAACCAGAATATAATGTATAAAAGAAGACCGTTTTGTCATTTACACAATAAAAATATATATTTTAAGGAAGATTTAAAGAATATACAAAATTTCACGTTAGCCGGTTTTTCGTTTCTCTACAGAAAATTCCGAAAAAATATCGTTTTTGCGACCTTTTAAACTAAAATATTCTGAAATATATATTATAAGTTATTCCACATATCTCACTCTTAAATTATTATAAATATCAGAAATAAGACAATAGCTTTTTAATCAACTTTTGACAAGAACTATTAGTAGAAGCTAAATTTGCAGTTTAAAAGAGACAAGATTTTTCAAGTTAAAAATTGATAAATTATGAGGACTTCGATGATCTCTCTCTCATCCTGCTTTTTACAAGAAAAGATTGGCTCAAAATTCGAAAAAAGAAATTTATTCATCATATACTTAATATATTTGTAGAATTTTGATGGGAATACTGGACACAAAATAATACACGTGGCGCCTTGACGCGCGAACAATATGAAACTATGCGTTGAAGTCGATGTGTTATCGATAAAAGTTAAAGGGATGCTGAAGTTGATGATAAACAATGTCAATAACACAGAGACAATCGTCACAATTATGCTATCAATTTTATATTTCTTGTATATAAAGAATTTATGTAAATATGTATTGTTTTATTTTATATTATATTTTATATTATAGCGAAAAGCCTAACTTTAAAATCACGTATATGTAGAAATATTTCTGCAAATTTTTCAGATATTCTGAAGCTGAATTCAAATGCGAAGGTATAGCAATATTCTCCAAAATTGTTCTATTTGAAGCATTCACACTTTCGGTATGTACAAGCGGAACTTGTGGATTAGGCAAATATTACGCTACCTAACAATTTGAGATTTTACACTAAATTTTCTTTCTCCTTTTCGTCACATATTGAGCGATGCTCCTGTTTATTTTTGTACGTGCTTTCATTTACAATTCTTTATAATCAATACGACGTAAACTTTGTAGAAAAATGTCAGTATTCTGTCGGTAAAGTATTCAGCTTCAGCATCCTCTTAATGGTTCGCCGTCGGTAAAGCTCGTGCCAAAACATTATGGCGTTATGTCTGACGCCACTTGTTGGAAATGTGTGCATTCTCTTGACACGTCGACATTTGTGCTGCGAATTTTTTTTTTAAACGCCGTTGTCCGGCGTTATCGAGCGCGTGTCTCACAATCATAGCAGACGTATCCATAAATAGATCCAAGTCCTAGATAAAAGTGACAATTGATCTCGTGACAGCTGTCTACCTGTCGTGTGCGATCGAACATATCGAAACGTGCAGCATCGACGCGACTCGGCGAAACATCTGACGTGGTCTGCCGAAGTATTTCTGTGATCTTACAAAGTTATGTGGATCTTGCGTGCGATCCAGCATCGCGGAGGTCATCGATATTTACGATATTGACGAAATATATTGGATACACGGGAACACCTGATGACGCTTTCGCGAAATGATGCCGAGTCTTCAATATGACATTGCTTGCTTCGTTTTAATTTTACTTTCTATTTTAATACACGTCAAGGCGGATGCGCAGGATACCTCCAATGCTCAGGTAATATTGCAAATGGTTACATGCATATGTGGTGTAGAAGAAAATTTAGTACATATGAGTGAGTCTTTGGTGTTTGTCACATATGTCATATCAACACATTAAGATCATTATCTCATTTGATATCATACCTAAATTATGAATCTTTCATGAAAACTGAAATTGTTCTTGAAAGCATTATACACAAACAGAAATGTGAAAGCAACAAACTTTTTTTCTGTATTGTAGCATTTCTCCAATACAAAATTTAATTCTAATGAATATTTGGAGTATCCTGACAATGAGGAGAGAGATAGAGAAGCCTTGGCACAATTGGATCAGATGCAGCATTCAAAAGACACCTATCTAAAGACTAATGAATTTGCTAATCATCCTGATAATAAGGAATCAATAACTCCAGAAACCTTGGATAAAAGTACGTTTACTCGTGTATATTGGAAAACGACAGACAGAATTAAATTGGGAGCACATCAAACTGTCCAAAAAAATATAGAGTTATAAAATTAATAATATAATTAAGAGCCCTAAATTCTAATATTATTAATTAATAATAATAATTAATAATTATCACAGGTAAGTCAGTAATAACTCTCAACTTTGAATTTAGTGTGTTCCCAATTTCATTGTCTAAATCATTTCGCAATCTACTGTATATTAAAAAAAAACATGGTAATGGCAATTATAAAATAACTAAGGCTTTATTTGCAATAATTATGAAATAGTTTGTTGAACTATATACATTATAATATATATTTTGTAGTAAGTAAAGCTTCAATTACAATAACCACAAAATAGTTCATTAAACTATATACATTATATTCTATGTGCAAAACTCATATAATTGTCACTTATGTAGTTGCTATTACCATGTCTTTTTCTCTAAGTGCAGGCAAAGATGTGATTCATATTTTCTAATGTTTTTTATACTTTCATCAGACATAGTATGGGACCGACAATGGGCAGCACAATTAAATCTCACTCAAATATCAGCTGTTTCTATGGATCCAAGTGGCAATATCGCCATATTTCACAGAGGAGATCGCATTTGGGGATTTGATACTTTCGACAAAGAAAACAAATTCAATCGCGCCTATGGGCCAATAGCGCAAAATACTATTATACTTTTGGATAAGAGTGGGAAGACGGTATTAGAATGGGGTGATAACATGTTTTATCTTCCTCATGGTCTGACTATCGATCAGTCCGGAAATTATTGGATCACGGATGTAGCGATGCATCAGGTATTCAAGTTCGATGCTCAAGAGGTAGAGAAGCATATGAGCGAATTGAAACGCGCACAATCTAGCACGAGAACGAGCGCGTCTGGTCGTCGTGGCAGTGCGTTATTCGAAACTAACGTACTGAAGCCATCCATAGTTCTGGGAGTGGCATTCGAGCCTGGTAACGACGAGAACAGATTTTGTAAGCCGACCGCTGTTGCTGTACATACCAATGGTGACTTTTTTGTCAGCGACGGATATTGCAATTCTAGAATAATCAAGTTTAATAAGAACGGGAAACGGATTCTTTATTGGGGACGACACTGGGGCATTGGAGGTAATAATAAAAATAAAATTCTCCGATTTCAACGATATCCAACTAATGTTTTAGAGTGAATCTGAGTAAAAATGTTTCTAATTAAATCAGTGAAAGAAGGATTTCATCGATAATCAGCGAATATTCATTGATTTCCAATGGATTTTCATTAATTTTCAATATTCCCATTTTACTGCTTCATCTTATATTTGATTGATTTTGTGACCAGTGGAAGAAAGATTTTACTACAAAATATGTCGCACAAATTCGTTATATCAATTCGCTATATTAAATCTAGCTTACTGCCCTTTTGCTTATGAAATTACCAACTTTCATGCGATCCAATGATATTATCTGTATTTGCAAACTGCATCAATAATAGGAACAGTCGCTATTATCAACTGATTCAACGAAATTTTACTGCTTGCGATGCTACCCAAACAATATAATGTCTAAAGTCGGGACATAAGACGTCTTAAAGATCATCTTTAAGATAGCTTTCAGGCGATTTACATATAAATGTTTTTAAGGCGTCTTAAAGATTATCTTTAAGACGTCTTATGTCTAGATTTTAGACATTATGTTGTCTGGATATATACTTGTAACCAGACAATCAGTTATAAATATAGCATTTTAGTGAGTAATACACTAATTGTACTTTAGAAGGTAGATTTTCAACTAAAACTGAACTTGTTTCAGGACCTGTCTACTCGCAATTACCTCCGCCGAACGCGTTCGTCGTCCCACATGCTCTAGCTCTCGCGAGCACGTTGAATTACATTTATGTTGCCGACAGAGAGAACGGCCGAATTTCGTGTTTCTTTGCCAACAATGGTACATTCCACAAGGAGTACAGCCATACTGCTATCGGTACAAAGATCTACAGTGTCGCCTATGCTCGAGAAAAATTATATCTAGTCAATGGACCCAATCAGTACACGTCACGCCCTGTACCGGTACGAGGTTTCGTGCTCGACATCCATTCCGGGAAAATAGTCTCAGTATTCGGACCCAAGGACAACATGAATAATCCACATGATCTCTATGTGACGGAAGATGGTGCCGAGATATATGTAGTAGAGTTAAACAATCACAAGGTTTACAGATTTCTACAAGGTACATAATTCTTTGAAATATATCCGTTATTTTTACTTCATCACAGATTCTATGTAAGAATTTTTTCTTTGTTTTTTTTTATTCTTTTTCATATGTAAAAATCCCTCTGTTATTTTTGCTTTATCAGATTTTATATAAGAATTCCTTATGATCTATTCATTATTTTTATTTTATCAGATTGTATGTAAGAGAGAATTCCTTAGAATGTATCTGTATGTAAAAAAAATATCTAATTATTTTACAGGTGTAAATGACTCAACGTATTCTGAAAATTTAGTGTCTGCCAATCATCGTCGACCTAAGATTTTAGTACATCCTGATACTAAAGATACCAATGAGAAAACTAATATGACAAAATTGATACTAGGTCTTGGCTCAGCGGCCATTTCGTTTATTATAATATGTGTCGCAATTGCTGCCATTATAGCAAGATGTCAGAAAAGAGGTAGAACATATCATTATGATGAAGCAACAATCGAACTTTCTAAGCTAGTCGAATAGAAAAAAGTGCTCGCTTGGCTGTCTATCTTTCATTACAACTATAATATTATGCAAGCATGTTAATTTAATTTTTCGACATATTTATCAGTACAGTCTATTGAATGATCCTTTCTTCCTGTTTATTAAAACACATTTATTGAAATTTATAGATATTATTAATTTTATGAGTATTTATTTTATAAACATTTTATGAATTTATTGAAAAATAAGTGTAGAATATAGAAAAAATTCTAAACATGTGTGATATACATGTGTGATATGTGTATAATGTGACAGGAGAAAAGGAACGACATATCTCTAATATATTTTCCTGTAGTCGCAGCTATATTTATAAATATTTCCCAGGTAGCACATATTATTCAAGAATATTTTCGACACTTTTCACAAAAATTATAAGATGTTACATATGTTCAGAGAACGTATATGAAATCAATATGTGCTACTAGGGTTTCTATATATTTTTTTCTTTGACTGTATGATAGTTGTAATTTTTATACTCGTACACATACAAACGCCTCAGTAATGACAAACTTATTTTGTTCCTTATTTTGTTGAAGTATTCATAATGTATGTTTATTTATCTCAAGTAATTTGTCTTAACCCTTGATTTCAGGCTTTAACTTATTATTTCATATATATATATGCACTATAGTTAGAAAATACCACATACTGCTAATTTTTTGTACTTATGTGTCGTGTAAATATTGTTTAAAGTTTGTGAATGTCTTGAGGATATGTCGTGATGTATTATGATCTCCAGCAGATCTCTACGCACTGTATAGTATATTGTATCTTTTGTAGTTTGTAACATACATTGCATCTTGGTCCTTTCTCCTACCTCTCTTTTACGTTATTATTTATTTATTGCGATGTCTTATTCATTGTACACAAATATACTTATTAATTCAATTTCACAAATATACTTTTTAATTCAATTAAACATAAATATACTTATTAATTCAATTACACAAATATACTTTTTAATTCAATTTCAAATTTATTTTACTCCCTTGTACTCCCCTTCTTCCTCTCCTATCCTATACCTATACCTTTCCCAAACATATATATTGCATATTGAGTATCACTCAATGTTTAACATCCATGAGCAACAAAGATAGAATGACGCTCGCGAGCGTTGCGAGCGTGTAACGGAACGTGCCCAATGATCTACATAATGAGTGTAATTTTTTCGTCGTTTCAATGTGCTGAAAGCATCATTCTATCTTTATCGCTTATTACACGTGTCGAAAGAAAGCAGAATAAGTAATGCTAATTTCGTGCTTTCGGCAAATTTATATTTCATTATATGACAAACTGATAAATTAACTCTCTGTAAATAAGAATGTACCGTGAGAATATTGTGGACTCTAACCTGTTTAAGAGACAACATTTATAAAGAGTGCAAAACAAACTTGGGCTTTTTTAACTGCGCATACATAAGGTTTGTTTTTCGTTCCTGCTCTGCTGAACTGGTGCAATAAGTTAGAGCGAGAAAAAATAAGTCAGCGCTGAAAATCTATAGTTCATATTATGTATTTATAGATTTTCAGCGCTATTAGTAATTTTGAAACAGCCATAACGAACGTACTAAAAAATTGTAACGGTTGCGCGGAGCGGATCGTGGCGATTCGACGGTTTTCTGTACATAAGATTGAGCGAGTATATGCTTACGTTTTCATTCGCACAGGTTGTCTACTCACGATGCGGAAGAGAATGCGTTGGGAAGCGGAGAGACGGGAAAACTTCAAGCTCTCCAGCCTGCTGGAGAATCGCCGGGGCCGGAGTTTCAAGTTCCTGGAGAAACGGCCGAACACTCGCGATTTTAACAAGCTGAACACGGAGCCGGAAACCTCGGAGGACGAGCGTCCCGAGAACAGTCTCGCGAAGGTAATTTAAGGCGTTCAACGAAAACGCCGAGGTATCGCGTCAGTATTACCGAACCGAGACAACAAATTCATGCCCGCTCGCTCGCTGATGTCCGAGATGTTCGCGGGATAGGCGCGAATTGCACTCCCGTTTGAATTGACGGACAACAGCGCCGACGATTGCCGAGCGTATCCGAATGCGGCCGAACGATAACGCGCGGGATTCCAGCGCTTCGGTATACTTACGATCGCATGTACAGGGTGAGTTATTTGACATTACCACTTGGGATAACGCGTTTACCATGAAAGATTTTAACCTGGATGGCGCCGGAGATTTCAAGATTAAGGAAAATGTCCCAATAATTAAACCTTGTTCCAATGATTGAAACATGAAAAACATATTTGTAATAAAGTCTTTGAAATTTTGTTAAAAGATATTTATGCTCCAATTTGTAACGTTATTTAAAGACATTATTCAATTCCTAAATCTATTGTTTCAGTATTGTTTCAGTAATCAGGATATGATTCATTTTTTAGCTCAATTACTGCTACAACTGGCATTATCTGATCCCTGGTAAAAGTTGATAGAGAACGATAGAATAAAATTATCGTTTTCTATCGTTTTGAATATGGATTTTGGTTCGTGAATTCACAAATGTGAATACGATATACGATAGAATACAATAGATAGTGATAGAATTTCTATCGTCAGTTTCCTATCCCAGGTAGCACATACACGTTTTAAAAATGTTTTATAAATGTTAGAACCAAACCTTTCATAACCGTTTCCAAAACGTTTCTGAAACGTTTTTCATGAGTAAAAATGTCCACTCAAAAAACGTTAAGTGAAACGTTATTTTTGCGAACAAAATCGTTGAAGAAACGTTTTATAAACGTTTTATAAACGATTCATAAATAAGGTTTCAGAGAGATCCTGTTAAAAAGTTTCTTATTGGTGCTTTACGATTCTGAAACTACAAATACTTTTAAGAAACGTTTCTGATACATGTATGCGCTATCTGAGTATATAATACAAACAGAACCCGATTTTTATAGAACTAGATAAAATAGGATGCTGACGCTTGCGAACGATAGAGCTTATAGAAAACGATAAAAATTGGTAGAAATTCTATCGTTCTCAATCGTTCTCTATCAACTTTTTTTACCAGGGATATATTTAATTAAAATTATAGTTGATATTTATATTGATTATTTTATTTCTTATTATTTCTTGAAAGAGAGAGACAGAGAGAGATAGAAAGAGATCGTTGACGAAGGTTCTATATAAACATTAGTTTTCTTTGTAATTTTACTAATCACTTATTAATAAAAAAAACAAAATCGATTGTGCTTTTTTATTAACTTATTTATTGGAACATTTACCTTACGTCAACGCGGATTGTTTACGTATTTTTTACATAATGTGTATACGGTGATTTTTCGTGTAGACAACATAAATTATATGAAATATTGCAAATTATATCAAAATATATAAAAAAAAAACAATTAAATTATAAGACAGTTACCGTATTTGTATTTTAAATATTAATTATAGATATAAAGTTTAAAAGGAAAATAAAACAAGTTGAAATTTATATTTCATTACATGACAAATTAGTAAATTAATTCTCTGTAAGAATGTACCTTCCCACATAGCAGAAAATTTAAAAGATGTACCAAATACATTCAGAGAATTGCTAAATATTCGCATAAGTTCTCAGAATATCCTAAAAATATTTCGAGGACTTTTAAATGTCCACACAAGTCCCCAAGATATCCCTTGTGCTATGAGAGTTGAGAATGTTATGGACTCTAACCTGTTTAAGAGAAAACATTAATAAATTTACATCAAAATTCTAAAGGTTAAATATATACTTTTCTTTATCATTTTTTTAACAAGCCATCCTACAAAACATAACGTTTAAAATCGGAACATAAGACGTCTAAACAACGTCTTAAAGACGTCGGAATGGAAGACATCTTTAAGACGTTTTTAAGATGTCTTTAAGACATCTTATGTCCCAATTTTTGACGTTGTGTTGAGTGAGATATATTCTTTGAACGATATTCATTGATTACTAACTGTCTACATAGACGACATATCATACATAATTTACGTTGTCTACACGTAGACGTAGAGTATCACAATATACACGTGAACATCCGACTTTGATTTTAATGGAGAATTATTAGAGATAGATAGGAACCCAGATAGTACAGAGATAAATAGAAGATCATAGAAAATTCATTTAAGAATATCTACAGAATTAAAAAATGAATATTTTGTAAACCCTTGACGATTTAATCACAATCAGCTCGCCTTGAAGTATTCTTGAAAAATTTATCAGAATGAATATTTTACGACTAAGTGCTTCGCATACTTTAAGAATTTATGAGGGATTGCAAACGTTTTATTTGTTATAATTATTTCCTATAACTGTGTTCAGTAGATGCCTATATTACTTTCAGTATTTTGTGTCTGTCGTATCATAATTGGAATGTTTTTCATAAATAAATATTACGATATAATAAAAAAAGCGATATTTTTAACACTTCATTAAATTGTAAATATGATTGAACTGGGTTCAATATATTGTATTTTTATAAATTACCAATTTATAACCTAAAAATAATCATGTTTAATACGTTTCTTTTTTAATTCTATATAATCTTTATTTAATTTCTTTCTTCCTTTATGTGATTGGAAACTAATTGTATTTTAATTAAACAAGTTCAAGGCTCTTGACACGAATCGAAACAAATGATTAATAAGGCAAATAAGAGCCAATAGCCGATCTCAAAGACGCACTTATCAATTTAATCAAACCAATAGCTTATGTTTACAAAAATTCAAATGTTTCGGTCCCGTTTTGGACCCTCTTCAGTGAAGTTACAATTAAGCAACCTAGCCAATTTTTAAAAGCTCTCTAATATTAACTACTATGCTTGTGCCATCAGATCTACCAAGGTAGATCCGAAAAGCCAAACGCATATTACATATTCTTAAATACTTTTAGAATTGTATTTGTGGGACTTGTGTCTTAGCTATATATGACAATTATTATTTACTATGTAAAGCAATATATATACAGCAGAGGGGAATATGTAAATAAAAATATACATGTGCAGAGAAATATATATAGATCCGTGGGCAACTTCAGTCAACTGAAGTGTCAAAAGAAGAAGCCCACGGATCTATATATATTTCTGCACATGTATATTTCTATTTATATATTCCCCTCTGCTGTGTATATAAATATATATATATTGCTTTATATAGTAAGTAATAATTGTTATATATAGCTAAGACACAAGTCCTGAAATACAATTCTAAAAATAATTAAGAAAAAATATGCAATATTGAAAATGCGTTTGGCTTTTCGGATCTATCTTGGTAGATCTGATGGCACAGACATATTGCATTAGTAATTAAGAGCTTTGAAAAATTAGCTGGGTAGCTTAATTGTGACTTCACTGAAAAGGATCCAAAACGGAACCGAAACGTTTGAATTTTTGTAAATATAAGTTATTGTACATCTATTGGTTTGATTAAATTGATAATTTAATTATTTTTATTATTTTATTTAGAACGTAAAGGTAATTAATAATAATATTATATCAATATTTTAATATTCTCCACTGAACAATATAAGTATTACGTATATGTGTTACAAGCATATATAAATATATATTATATAAGCATAAATCGTAACATCAGATATCAAAATCATATCCTTACACATCTTTATAGTATATTGCATGTTTTAATAATTCACTTTTCAATACGTCTGAAAATTAATTATTCGAGAAAAAACAAGTTTTGTAAAATGTCTCCCATTTTACTCGCTGAAGAAACATAATGAGATTAAATAAATAATTTTTTTAAGATAATATCATTTAACTTTATTATATTTTCATTTTTATTTTTTCACAGTAAAACTTGTATTTTTTTATAGTGGATATTTCAAAAAATATTTTACTGCAATACAAAGAGAGACAGAGAGAGAGAGAGAGAGAGAGAGAGAGAGAGAGAGAGTTGATTAATTTATTTCTAGTATGTTTAACATTTATTTAAACATTACAGTTTCCATCATTCCTTAGATTCCTTTATGATTAAAAATCGCATTAGCGATATAAAATTATGCGCGATTCAAAATTGCGTTTGCGAAATAAAATCGTGGGCGATTTAAAATCATATTTGCGATATAAAATTGTGATGCATTTATTGCGATTTTTAAAAAAGATTGTATCGTGAATTTCATAAATCCCTACCGGCGTTTAAGATCAAAACCATGGAGGTACAAAGTATTTCACAATCTTCAATTGCTAGTCTTTATTGAGACAACATTAGTTCTTTGGTTATTTTAATATTTATATGGTTGAGTGGAGAATTATAACGTTGAAGTGTGATGTTATTGTTAATTAATATTTATTAAATATTTAGTAGTCCTTTTTGTACTCTTAAACACTAATCCCTCTTGAAATCATAAAGTATACAGCTGTTGAAACGGAATAATTCTATATAAATACTTCAAGAAGCTCTGAAGAATCCCAATCATGTTGTATGTAATTTCCTGAATCACTTTTATAGTATTCTTCTACGAATTGCTATAGTATTCTTCTAAGAATTACAATTCAGGAAAAGAGAGAAACTTCGAGAATATTTGAAAAATTTATTATGGCTATCTGGGGAAGATACCGTATGAGTGTGTGCTAAATGTTGCAAGCCAAAATTGAATATGTAAGTCAGATTACAATATAGAATCACATTTTCGATTCGTTATATTTTTACTGAACTTTACGTTTGTACCTGTTATACGTATAAAAGAGAGATATATATTATTTATATGTATGTATATAATTGTATCTTCATAAATAATTTGTTTCTTCTCTTTCTTTTTGTTTTTTCAAATCTTTGGTAATCAATAATGGACAAATCGTTATACTCGTTAAGTAAATAGAAAAATTGAGAGATTCATAGAAAAAATATACAAATCTGAGCACATACTTTAAGTGCCAAATAATTAAACGACGAAAAATCATTTGAAATGGTAATGTTAAAAGCTTGAACCATGTAAACATTTTATAACCATGCATGTTTTTCGCTCGATCGTTAAATTAAACGAGAGCATTTGCATTTTGGAACAATGTTTTCTCGATTTAATAAGAACCTGGTCATTATACGAGATAATCGTGCATGAAAGTGGGGCTTATCTGGAACGGAAGAAATTAGGTCCTGTTCTTTTTAACAACAGCTTTTAGAAGCTCTCACATTTTTATTTATTCTTGAAAATAAAGTAAAGATAAAAACTCATTAACTTGGATTTTCATCGATTAACGTCACTTATGTTTATTTGAACAAAATGTACAGAGAAGAAACGGAACATCTGCACATAAATTTATTAGATTTACTCGATTAAGTGCGAGCATATAGATAAGAGTAGATATAAAAGCGTAGATATAAAAGAACGGACTCATCGATTATTTTGAGACGAGGAAACAAGTTCGATGAACGCGTTTGTCCCAATCCGTAGTCGTATTTACGGAGGTTTATATAAATAACCGTGCTTGATGACAATGTGCCTCAAATTTTTCCAATTACATACAATTCGCATAGCGTATGTGCATACATGCGTCACGAGCTAACCTCTATGAAGTCTAAAGCTCGGTTAAAAATATTCTTTGCATTCACTCTTTTCAACCCTCCGCGTACAATGTTGGATCTGTGAAATTCGAACGAATATTCCATCACTCATCAACTTTCGCAAAGAGATCCGAGAAAATTTCAAAATAGCGCACATCTGTGTTTGCAAGTTTTGATTTTATCGGTCTACTATCTTATAACTGAGATTTTTCTATATTTCTGAAAGAAATGTGTCAAAAAATGTTGACTCTCAACAAAGTTATAGCAGTCTTATAGACAGTTGAGATTTTCTTATATCTCTGAAAAAGAATGTGTTTAAAAGTATTAATGAAAAAGAATGTGTTTAAAAGTATTAATGAAAAAGAATGTGTTTAAAAGTATTAATGAAAAAGAATGTGTTTAAAAGTATTAATTCTCAACAAGATCATAACTATCTTATAATTCAAGCTTTTTTATATTTCTGGAAAAAATTGTGTCCAGAAATACTAATTTTCAACAGCTATACTAATTTTCAAAGCTATTCAAATTATCGGGGTCCAGCAGATCCAAATTGTACTTCACGAAGAAAACTTCTACTCTATCAAGTTCTATTCTTCTAACTTCTATTCTATGTTTAGAGAGAAAATCTATGTAATTTCAAATTGTTCTTTTCATATCTTTGGCTTTCCCAGAAGAGATATATTTTACATTGAGACGATTATAGAAATTTTTAAAGCTGCTGATTCCAAACTTAGCAATATTTAAATTTAAAGTAGCGAACTCAAAGTGGCGGCCATGGAAACCTAAAATATCGATATATTTAAAATATGAGTTTGAAAATTAGGTTTTTCTCTGATCATTGCTTACAAATAAAATAAAAATATTTTAATTTAAAATAATAGATCTCAAATTGTGGCTACAATGAACTGAACATATTTATTTTCAACTAACTTCTTTCCATACTTATTTTCGACAAGTTAAAATTTGCTGTTCCCTACATCGATTGGTTGTGGATATAATTATGTAACCTTTATAAGTAATTACTTATTAACTATATACTACTACTTATCAACAAAACGCGACTCTTTCTTCTATGAATTGCTGAGCGAGACAGAGAAACGTCTGAGGAGACGTTATCAGTATGTTAGCTAAAAATTTGATTTTTGAAAAGTTTCAAATAACTATATTTTACTAAAAATATTAAATTTAAAAGTACACTAAAATTGTTTATATGTAGATTTAACTTTCCTCTCCGAAACAAGTCATAGAAATCGATAGGATTATTTGTTTAAAAGTCATGATTTGTTTCGTAATTGGGTCATATATGTCTCGCAGATACGAAAAGATGTTAAACAAATATTACATTAAAAGTTAATTGTTATATGCAACTATACAATTGTCACAGCCACAGTTCTTATGATACATAATGCTCAGTTAATACATCCTCACATATAGTTGTCTCAATCGAAGGAATATTTGTTGTCTCTCTGTTCTGCAGAACAAATACCATAATTGTGTAATCAAACAAACTCCGGAATGAAATTCGATCACAATTATGTGTATACTTTCGTCCGAGATAAAGTAGTCATGTCGCATGACGCCCGAAACCAACAAGCATCTTATTAAAGATATCCACCAAGAAAAAAAGGAACCGGCATCTCGTGCAGCACCATCCATGCTGCGCGCACATGTTTCTTCATTGTATTGATTGTTCTCCCGAACAATAGCATCGTGTGTCGTTTCTCTTCAGGAATATGGGAAAGCATTCTCATCCCAAGTCTCGAAAACGTTCTCGCGGACGTTCTCGCGACAATTCGCCAGCCAGAGATTCATCACACGAATATAGAGGTACCAAATCCTCCAAGTCGAAGCGTCCATGTGGGGAATCCCGCGGACATCGACACCTAAAGCTCGGCGTGGCCTCATCATGCCTATGTTGACGTCGTCTGCCCGGAACGCTCTTAATGTCTCCCCGATTGATAATCAACTTTTCAATGAGCAATATCTCATAAAAATAAAAGACGCTACAGCAGCCGATAAGTTAGTTCGCAGCGACATTACCACTATAACGCCGATACCTGCTAAATCGAATACTCAGAACAAGATGCGACCTTCCTTCGCCCAAAAGACTTCGTCCCAGGAAAATGCGAGAACCTTTGTCAACAAATCAACGCCTCGCCGGGGGGCAAGGGTTGCATTTCAGTCGGCGAGACATCAGTCGAGCTCTCAGACTAGGAGTCGTTGCCCCCGCGTGTAGAGATAAGCACAGTGGACAGGCTCGCGCACTTCTTCCAAGCCTGGACAGATCTCACTAACGACCCTGTCGTTTTAAGTGCAGTTTGTGGATACTAAATTCCTTTTCTTGTCACTCCTTTTCCGCGATCGCATTTGCAGGAACCAAGGTTGAGTTCTTCGGAGCAAAGGTTGTGCGCAGAGGAATTAGAGCGCCT